ATCTGAAACACGCTCAAGGGCTTTTCATGACTCCACGTTGAATCACCAAAGTCTCATGGTCTGGGTGAGATTAATGATTAGGACAATTACAGTATGTTGTGCAAGTTCTGCCTCTCTTAGGAGCCATTATTAAACAATATCGGCTTTCAGCTATGGAACATCACATGGGTGTCAGGGAAATAACATTACCATGCCAGTGCCTGCCAGCTGTGAAGGGCAGAGCGCAAGGGAAAGTGCTGAGGCTCAATTCTAATCGTAGCATAACTGGGACAGAACCAGAACTTTGGGGACACCAGTTATGCTGAAAGGATCAAGAGAAACACCATTTAAGGGAGATGGGAGAGGCAGAAGCAATCATCCCCTGCCATGTTTCAGACTACATATGACTGTTATTCAATAAACACTATATTTCAGGTTATTACGAGGTATCGAAAAAGTAACTGCAATTAATGCCTTTAAAATGTTTTTGCAATATAGTCTTGAATGTGTCTGACAATAGGCAATAGTCTATCCTTACTGTGATTCTTGTCACACAGCACTGAATTCCCTCCCCATCTCCCACTGAAACTTGAAATGGTGTCCCTGATCAGTATAATAAATGGCCTATTATTCTAGCTCAGGTGCAGAACCTGGACTCACATGTACATCTGATATAGTGCTGTTTCTGCTACCAAGAATCAAAGCATGATCCCACAAATTCTTGGTCTTGTGTGTATGTATATTTATTCTAAGATAAGCCGAAGAGAAAACAGCCTCTTTTTTGGCATTCTTTTCCCTTTTGCTTAATTGTTGATCAGATTATCTGCTCAAGATTTTATGAGTGTGGTACAAAGGGGCATTGGTGGGGTAGAAGTAGTCCTAGATGGCAAGAAATGCCTTCTCCTTTTGGATTCCTCAATGCATATTTACTTTCAAATAAACCCCACCAGTACAAAAGATTGAAATGATCAGAAATGAACTGTTATAAATTAGGAATTGCAATGGAAACATTCAGAAACCAGTGCTCTCAAATACACAGGAGAGAATGGAGTTAGAATGAAAAGGTATAGAGAAGGCACTCTTTACAATTAGTTTTTTCCTTGCACTCATTAATATATATTGGTTCTAGTTCTTGTACTGACCCTACCTATATTCATGTTTTGTGCTTTGTCAGTCATCTATTTTTTCCCAGATTCACAAGAGTTTGGCTGGACCAAGCATAATTGGAATGCTTTAAAATCTTTCTTTCTATTCCTGTGCTTTTTTCTTTTGCTTCCGTATATCTCCAAGCTCATAATTTTATTTATTTATTTGATTTCTAGCCCACCCTCCCCTGCACTGCAAGGCTCAGGGCAGGTTACAGCAATATAATTATAAATCTGACAGTCATTAAAATCCAGATATAACATCAGTCAGTAAAAACAATTGAATAGCATTCAATCGTGCCAGTTAATACATCTGCTCTCGGCCAGAGTCCACACATGTGCACAGTAAGTGGTAACTAATAGAGAAGAGCAGCTGAGAAGCATATTGCAGGGTGGAACCAAGATGGAATCAGGTAGGGAAGGCCCATACTGCTAGAATTCTGCCACCTCAACCATAGGGCCCTGCGAAATTGCATTAAGTCCCACAGGGCCCAATTTTGACCAACCTCATCTTTGTTTTCTGAAACACCTGCCTGTTTCAGACTCAGCTCATGATATGCTTTTGTATTTTGCCATATTTTCTGATTTGAAAACGTGGACTTGATTGGGCACTTCTTGAAACCTTTTTCTTTCCATGCAGCCCCCAGAATATTCTTAGAGATCATTTAAAAAGAAAACTTGTGCTTTAAAATTAGGACCTTTTTAATTTTTGCAAAGCCAAGATATGTTTTCATATTTATCAAAATCTCAGTGGCAAACATGTTACCTTATGTTTGCTTAAAATTAATTTAGTTAGCTAAATGATCAGAAATTTCATTATTAAATGCTGGAGGGTTAGTAGGGTTGCCAGCTGAAGCTGGAAACCCTCTGGGAGAAATTAGGGGGTGGAGACAGGCTTACCAACATCATGTGAACGTGCGACATCACTTCCAAAGCCAAATTGGAAGTGCTTTCATTGTGTGGGAACGACGCTCTAGGATCTGTCCAAAACTGTATAGTTAAACCATATATGCACCCCTAATTTTCTCCTGCTGGCCTGTAAATCAGCAGTGAGGGTAGGGTTGCCAGGTCCATTAGGGACACTGGTGGGGTGGAGAGGTGGGGGGATGTTCCATGATCTGGAGACATCGCCCTTGATGTGTCGATGTCCCCGGAAGTGATGTTGCACACCATGCCTGTGTCACCCAGAAGAGATGTAGGCATGTTGGGGGTGACACTCTGCTTTTTAGGCAAAACTCTATGGTAAAATTGCCCTCAAACCATAGAGTTTTGCCCAGGGCTTTTTTTTTGTAGAAAAAGCCCAGTAGAAACTCATTAGCATAGTAGGCCACACCCAACAGCAGGAACTCATTAGCATAGTGGGCCACACCCCTGACATCACAGCGCATTAGCATATTAAGCCACACCCCATGCCTTCCTTTGGTTTGCCTGGGCACCCCATGGCTGCGGGTAGCCCAGGCAAGCCAGCCCTTGGACAGGCCGGGGAAGGCACAGGAAGGCATTTAAATGCTTCCCCAATCCTTCCAGGGGGTCGCTCACCAGGCCTTCCCTCTGTAGCCACGCACTCAGAGGTTTTGGCTGTAGTGGACGTGGCCAACTCTGAAGCCAGCCGGATCTCCGTTCCTGCCCAAAAATAGCCCTGGTTTTGCCCCAAAACAAGAGCATTGTCCCAGGCGGGCCCACATCACTTTGCATGATGTTGCTGTTTGGGGGGAATTTCCTCCCACTGGCCAGTTGGTTAGCGGCGGGCAAGAGCCCACAAAACCATGCAATTCCCCCCCCAAAAAACTGGGGAATGGCATCCCTAAGTTAGAGTCATTCCCTGGAGGTCTCTCACTATAGTGGGGGACCTGGCTCCCCTAAGGGTTACCTCTGTGAGTCTGTAGCAGCCAAAACTATAAAAAATATTGTAGACCTTAAACATCCAGGCATAACCACTTGTGGACCAGAGCTTACTAACAGTTACCTTCAGCTGCAAATACATACACATATATATTTGTACAAACTGAATAAAGACAGACCATGGATATTCTTGCAGAATGAGTGGGCTATATATGAAAACAAGAGCTAATTAAGAGTATTTATTTATTTACAATATTTATATGCTGGTTTTCTCCTGAAATTCAGGACTCAAAAGCAGCTTATAAATTATAAAGTTATAGAAGATTGAAAACAAATATACTACTAGAAATCTCAAACTACCTCCCAGTTCTTTCTTAATATCACTCAGACTTCAAAACATTGCAATAAAAAAGAGCAGCAACTAATCTTTGGATAAAATACTGCACCATAGAGAACATCCACTGAGACAACAATCTGAATAGCTGGCAGTTTGCAGGTCAAAATGGTAGCAGCCTCTCCCTTCCCAGTCCTAGGCAGCACATTTTTGTACCATCTCTAGGGTAGGTAAACAATCTAACCAGAGGATGTGGACCACTTCTGTCTCAACTGGTGATGACTGGGAAAACAACATGAAAAGTTAAAAACAAAAAACTCCTGAAGTAAGGCACACTCCCTCATTCTCTACGTAACCTAAATCTCATGATGCCAAATCTGCATATGAATTCCAGTCCAACATTTTCACAATGAAATCTCCTCATTTGTTGAATGGTGCAATGAGTCAAATCTGAGGTGCATATTTATTTATTTATTTATTTATTATTTCAATTTATATCCTACCTTTCCTGCGAAGGGGCTCAGGGCAGCTCACAACAATATGATGCTGGGAGGTTTGTGAACTGACCTTCCACTTTTTACACATTGAAATTACAGCTGGGGTCTGTATCAGGAGCATGGCCGGATGGCTAGCCATTTCTTTTTATACTGTTTCCCCTCCCTTAATTGCTGCCCCTCTCCCAAACTGCAATTTGCCTGTGATCTATATTTTTTTTCTTTTTGTATTTTATTCATATGTGAATGTGTGTGCGCACATGTGTGCATGTGTTTGCACCTGGAAGTCATGGCGACCTCTGGTGACTGACCCCTACTGGGGGCCTGGAGGATATTGAGAGAGATGGCTGAATAAAGCCTGCCCCTATCCTCCCGACTGCTGGTAATCCAAGGAGGTCTCCCATCCAAGTACTTGCCAGAGTTGACCCTGCTTGGCTTCCAAGATCGAGCTTGCCTGGACTATCCAGGTCAGGGTAGATCTGTACATTTCTGATATGAGATGAATAGCAGTTCCAGGGAGCTGGCTGAGGTTTGGAAGATGATGTGGAGGAAGCATTAATAGTAGGATTGCCATAGCCACTGTGTATCTACGATCACCATATCTGCCAGGGGAAATTCCTAGAGATTTGGGGGTGGAGGGATCTCAGCAGGGTGTTGTGTCATAAAGGTAAAGGTTTCCCTTGCTCGAAAGCCAGTCGAGTCCGACTCTAGGGTTGCAGTGCTCATCTCCGTTTCAAAGCCGAAGAGCCAGCGCTGTCCGAAGACATTTCCGTGGTCATGTGGCCAGCATGACTAAACACCAAGGCGCACGGAACGCTGTTACCTTCCCACCGAAGTGGTACCTATTTATCTACTTGCAATTTCTTGCTTTTGAACTGCTAGGTCGGCAGGAGCTGGAACTAGAGACGGGAACTCACTCCGTCATGCGGCAACCTGGGTCTCGAACTGCTGAACTACTGGCCTTCCACAGCCTGCAGTTCAGCGTCTTAACCACTTGAGCCACCGCAGCTCATAACCCTAACCCTAATCAGCTGTAATTCTGGGAGACCTTCACACCCCATCTGGCAACCCTAATTAACAGAGGAATTCTAAACAGAGTAGCACTCTTTTACATCCATTGAAATCAATCTCACTATAATTCCTATTAGGGATTTTGAGGTAATCAAACATCTGAAACAGCTAATCTTTCTCTCTCTCCATGTATAGGTTTGAATATAAGTTGCAGATATGCAGGCGTTTTCCATGTTGAGAAGAATCGGCGCTACAGCCTCACAAAAGAGGAGGCCATTGAACTTTGCAAGGCCCTCAACAGTACGCTACCAACATGGGAGCAGATGGAGAAAGCTTTCTCTCTTGGACTGGAAACCTGCAGGTAGAAACTCTAAAGGAAATGCAATATGCTTTATTTCTTTTGCTCTTGCCTGCCATGGTAAATGATACGATGATACACAGTAATGATATGATGATACATGGTAATGATAGAAAAATAGTGGTTTGGGGAAGACTGGGAGGACGAAATGGCACTGGAAAGGGCTCTCTCACCTTCTCTGCCACGGCCTCTTCCCTATCATGCCCCTGATGGTGGAAGGAAGAACTGCCTGAAGGAAAGGAAGTGCTTCCGTGTTCCTCACCAGCAAAATGGGGTGCTGGCTTAAATGGGTGCTGGCCCTTTTTTGCCCACCCCGTGAAGTGTTCTCTTTGCCTGTTTAGGTGTGATTCCAGTGCATTCAGTGACTCTAATTATGTATCTGAACAGAGTCATAACAGAATTACATAGGCACTGAGTTGCCATCCTTCAGGTGGGCCTTGCAGTCTCCTGAAATTGCAACTGATCTCCATAATGAGGTCCATCAGTGGCTATTAGCCACAAGGTATAGGTAGGGACTCTGGGGCAAGTGATGCTCTGTATCTTGGTGCTTGGGGGGGGGGGGTCAACAGTGGGAGGGCTTCTAATGTCCTGGCCCTACTGGTGGACCTCCTGATGGCACTGGTATTTCTGGCCACTGTGTGATACAGAATGTTGGACTGGATGGGCCTTTGGCCTGATCCAACATTGGCATCTCTTATGGTCTCTTATGTTCTTATAATCTGAAATTGCAACTGATCTCCAGGGGAACTGATCAGTTCCCCTGGAGAAAGTGGCAGCCCTGTAGAGCTTCTTGTCCTCCCAAGTCTTCCTCCTCTTCAAGCCTCACCCGCAAATCTCCTTGAATGTCCACAATGGAGTTGGCAACCCTATCTGTGCATCACTTTCTTAGAATTTGGGACCAGTTAGTAAACATTAATACTAATTGTGGAAAACACTAACTGTGATTATTGCAACAAAACTTTATAGTGCTTTACTTCTAATAGCTGTTCCTTTCAGACTAGACACCCTTTTAACTCAGCAGGCAAACAGAGCCCACCTTTAAAATTGTTTTCCTTTTCCTTTTCTTTGTGTTGCTATTGTTTGTCTTTTTCTTTTGTAATGTTTATTGTACCTATCATCACTCTTTTTTATGGCAATGTCTTCTACTTTTGTAAAGTCCTTTCTTCATTATGGTATGTTATGCCTTAGACAGTTTTGGGTTGCTTTAGGAAGCTTTTATTTGCATTGTTTTCCAGTTCTGTAATCCTAGTCCTACAACTGCATTGTTTATCAGAAGTCTTCGATGTCTGATTGAATTGCTTCATATATTTAGTAATCTGCCTCGAGTCTCAAGGGTTTAAATTAAATATAATGTAAATAAATACGATAATGATGATTTTTATTCTTTCTCTTTAAAAATATCCAAGATGAAACAAGATGAAGTTCCTGGTATAGTCACAACCCACAAGATGAAGCAAAACACTTTCAATAAATTTATTTTAGTTGTTGTTGTTGTTGTTGTTGTTGTTATTATTATTATTATTATTATTATTATTATTATTATTATTATTATTATTATTTCTTTATTATTTATTTATTTCTATCTCCCTCCATTTCTAATCATGAAAGGTAGGCCTGTTAATTACCCCATGTCTCAGGGAGCTGCAAGAACAATGCTTTGCTTTAAGGCCACCTAATGCATAATGGCTGGGGTAATATTTAAGCCAGGACTCCGATACCCATGGATTAGCCATGAAGTTACTTGGATGGCCTTGGCCATTAACCATCTGTCAGCCAAAGCTACCTCACAGGATTGTTGTGAGGATAAAAGGGGAGGGCAGCTCATGCATGACACCATGAGCTCTGTGGATGGAGTGTGGGATAAAAATACGTTAGATAGATATAGATTTCCCAGCTTACTGCTAAAGTTAAGCATACTGTTAGTCCATACATTCTGCCAGCTCTCAATATCAGCACTGCAGATAAATACAATAAATATTTACTAGCCTTCCTGCCATGGGGCTGCTTGACCATTTGTCTGGAAGAAACTGCTACTTGCTCTGTAGGCAAGCATATGAGTTACAGTGAAATCCTAAACAAAGTTACATCCTTGTTAACCTGTTGACTTCAATTAATTTAGAAGTAGATTGCTTCCAGGTACGGCACAGCAACGGGCGGCGCGAGGGTTGCTCCGAGCCGCCCGATTCCCAAACGCTCTTTTTGGAGCCCCCTGATTGTCGGGTAGGCTCCGCCAGGTCTCCCGGAGAGAGAGCTGGTGGCAGGGGGCTCTGTTACGGCCTCTCCCGCATCTGGCAATTGTGGGGGATGTCCGTTTCTGCCCCGAAGCGGGAGTGTTTTTTTGGAGCAGAACAGGGATTCCACGTTCTGCCTTAGCTGTGACCATCCGCTTTTTAACTATGATTGGATTTAATTTCTACAACAGTAACACAGAGGAACAAGCCTGAAAAATGAACTGTGAGTACGTTTATCTTCTAATTCAGAAATAGAGAAGAGTGGAGGCGATATCACTTTTAAGCGATTTGCTCAGAAAGAAGAGGATTAGCGGCCAGAAGAGGATTGGGAGCCGTTTGTATGTTTCTGGAGTGCTTGCAACCTTGGACAGTTTTTCTTGTTTTTTCTTTTTATGGCAAGAACCTACTATAGACTTGAGTGAATTAAACTGAATTGAGCTGTGTTTTTCCCATTAAAATGGCGCTGGTAACACAAGAGGAGGAGGAGGAGGAACTGGATGAGAATATGCTTGTGGGAGATTTATCTGTGGAACAGTTTCTAAGGGTTTTAAGGGAGCAAATTCAGAAGGGTTTTGAAAAAGTTTGTGTAAATTTATTAAAAACACCACATAACCCACAAGTGGAAACAAAGAAAGAAGATGAAAACGAAGAAAGCTTTGAGTTCCAACTTATGCTAAACAAAGAAGAAGTCCATGTTAACTTAATGGAAATGACAGAGAAAGAGGAAAATTTGGAACAGGGTTCACAGAGGGACATAGAGACTATAGAATGTTATCAAACAGAAGAGCATTTAGAGTTTC